AGGGAGGGGGGGGGGATTTGATAAATATTAAAGAAAAGTTTTTAGTAACGATTTATCTTGAAACTTTAAATGTTAGATCTAAATCATCTCACTCAGGGGTAGATCTAGGCCTACATGTAGGCCTACTTCGTTTGACATCCGCAGAGTTCAGCTCAATTATTGTTACGGTCGTTACTGTGCCATCTAATTAATTTGGCACCGCTATTTATTCTTATGTCAGAAAAAAAGGCAGCAAATTATGACTTTTTAAATAGATCTCTGCAACGCCTGATGACTGAATCAATGCAAGTACTAATTTTGTCATACCGGGTTACGGAAATGAACAGATAGATATTTTGAGGGATTTAAATTTTAAGGAGTTGCCAGTGTGATGCCAAAGAGTTGTGATGCAAAAAGGGAGACAATTAATTCTTTCTTTACATGCTCGGTTCTAAGTTGAGCTTACTTCCCTTAGAAAGGAAGCTGCTGTTATGGTTTTACCATTTCGTACAATTGTCGGTGAAATGCGAAAACGAAAGTAAGTATGGAGCAGTGCCCGGATGCACTCAAGGAAGACGTCGACGGTCAGAACTCTGCGAGAATATTGAGTATTTTGTGCGTTCAGAGTGAAAAGGACTATTGACAAGAGCTGATCTGCTTTGAATCAATGTAATTTGCACGTGAATCGGAACTTTCAGGTTGGTGAGTGTTATTGTATGAGTAAATTAACTGCAGAGAAGTAGCTGGGCAAGTCTCTTTGTGCTGAAAGGGATTTTAGAAGTATACAGTTTGCCGAAAAAACCCGGTAATTATCGAAACCTCCTGAAAAAATGAAAGGTGGTAGATCTATATTAATTTTGTTATATTGGGCCTTGCTGATTCTAGATTTTTACTAATTTCTTTTTTGGTTTGGAAGAGTAGATTTACATTTTACTTCTCTGTAGATTTAACAATGACTAACAATGATTTCTTTTTTCTATTTGCTGTCTCTAATAATGTAATGATTTTAATAGACTATTGCATTTAAAAAACTTCAAAACACTTGAATAATGATGAAACGAAACAAAACCATAGGCGTAACAATAACAAAAACGCATGGCAGATTAAAAAAAACAGTCCACGGTCATGTCACGGATAACATCCTTGGCCTTGGTCGAAAGATCCTAGTTGGGAAGACGAGAGGAGCTCCTCCTTCATGCTGTTACTTTAACCAAACCCTTTAGCCTATAGATTCTTTATTTATTCTGTAATATTGTCTAAGGCTTCCTCAAGCCTTTCCTGCTTCCCCATTTTGTTTTTTATTGTCTTCAATTATAGAGGTATAGAGAAGATCTAGAGAGAATCTAGTCATTGTATGGTATGACATTTTGAGTAGAAAAGTAGAACTACAAAACTAACATCTTTTTTTATGTAAGAATGGTAAACATGATTCCTGAAATAGATTTTTTTTTCTGGGGCCAGATCTATTTCTCCGAAAGCTCGGAAAATAAAGTTGAACTCTTCTATTTCTCCGAACAGTTCCCGATCTCGAGATTTTTTTTTTCATTATTTCAAGCGAGATTTAGGCGTCATCCTTTCATTTTACCCTTCTGCGAGGACTGGGACGTCTGGGAAGAAGCATTTTTTGCATCAAATTCAATTTCTAGAGCTAGAGATTTTTAAATGTCTGAATATTTAGATACTTCAGTTGTGGTTGGGCAACGTTCCCGGACTAGACCGTACTTCATTTGAAAATAAAAAGGTACTGCGAGAAAACAAGACTGCTCGACCTTGGCAGTAACCTATTTTGCATTTAGTCTCCCAGCAAAAACTAAAATCCTCCAGGTAAAAAAAAAGTTCCTCCACGCCCCCCCACCACCCGTTCACACCTTACACACACTCACACAGACACACACACACTCACACACTGTACATACACACACACACACACACACACACACACATGCACACTCACACAAACACACATGCACACACATGCACACACACTCACACACACAAACACACGGGCCACTCCATTCGCTTATTATCAACAAATCTCGAGAACGGAAACCGTTCGGAGAAATAGAATTCAAGTTTATTTTCCCGAACGTTCGGAAAAATAGAGCCGGCCCTTCATTTTTGCCGCAATTAAATAGTTCTTGAGTGATATTGATGTTTGAAAATTGTAATAATTGACTTGATCTTAAGAACATATTATGGGGGGTTTCAGAGGGGCATTCCTCCCTGACCTAAAAAGAATCTTCGGGGGTTTCAGGGAGGCATCATGCCCCTCTGCATTTCACATAGATTGGATGTATTTTTACTTGAAAGCAACTGATTTGCAAGGGTTTTAGTGGCCATATATATTATGTGTTTTACAGCAAAAATTATGGCATTTAAGCCCTCAAATCAATGTATCTGTTTGTGGATGCATAAGTAAAAATTTACCATTGATTTTCATTGAAAGGGGGAAATTACATGATGACAAGAAGTTTTAAAATGAATCACCAAAAAGTAATTTCATGATTTGGTTGGTCGATATGTATAGATGAAGATATTGGGGTACTTTTCGAAAAAAGTAATTTCAACATTTGGTTGGTCAATGATGATCATAAAGATGAAGTTATTGGGGTACTTTTCGAACAGACTTTTAAAATTTATTTCCTTTCTCTAGATGTTGCATGCAAAAAAAAGAGAAATTTTGCTCTTTATTCTGTCATCTTGTCTCTAATACACTCCATTAAATAAGATTGTTTTTTCCCAGAGAGATTTCCAGTATTGAGGTATGCAGATGGGCGAGAGGGGAAAACCTGCGGGTGATCAGAGCCTTTTCATAGTTCTCAAAGATGTCCGGCCCGGCATGAAGAACCTTCACCTCATGTTCATTGTTTTAGAAGTTGGTGAGTTCTATACCAGTTTTATGTTTGTAGGAAATAATTAGTTCTGAATTAGTGTCTATTATTTCCTTTAACAAAGCCAGACTGCTTACAAAGTGATCAAAGCATATTTCGTTTGAAAAAGGAAGTGGTTTTTCTCGGGGTGAGAATAAAAATGCGATCGACCTCTCACCCGAGTGAGACTTGCCAGCGTTGGCTATTCTCACCCGATGTGGAACAAGACCTGTTTTTCCTAATTTCTGAATACTTTTTATCGGAGTGGATGATCAAATTGACAAAAACAGAGAAAAAAATGATGTTATAGCAGATAGCACGAAAGAAACTAATTTGGTGTCTACAAAGATGCTACGGTTATTTCAATTTCAATTGGAATTGATCTGAACTATGCCGATCGCTATATTGCTTTGCTCAGAAGTTCTCACTAGATCTAGGCTATGTACATCTTTTTCTCTCCCCACCCCTTTTCTCTCTGTCTGTCTCATTGCACGCTTTCAACACAAGAGCGCTGGAACGTTTGTTTACACTGATATCACGGTGAACGCACACCAGGTGAGAATAGCCAAAAGGCTCGCCATCTCACCCCGGGTGAGAAACCTACAACTACGCTATTTTTGCCTCGGTTGAGAAGAGAGGTGGCCTTGAAAAATGTTTTTTGAAGGTTTTGATGCAGTAGTCTCCGCCTAAGATCCCGGTGCTCGAGAGCTAGGAAAATGCAGGTTCTTGTGCAAACTGGATCTTAGCCGACACACCAAAGAAAGAATCTTCAGTCGTCCATGGCCTACAACCGGTAAAAAACTCTGAATTGACTTGACCCTTGGGTGAGTTTATGAGATGGCAAGCAAAGAGTGGTCAATTTTGAAGACAAATCACAGTGGCATGAGGCATGCCATTTTCACTTATTATCCTTCATGAATGAATTTCAACATCTTCGCTTTTCCAGTTGCCCCTCCCCTTTACTTGTCCAAAATTTATAGCTTTCCATTTTCATCTCTGACCGAGTTCCCCCTGCCTTTGTCGTCACACACCATTACGTTGTGACTACACCAATTAAAATTCAGTCTGTCTGGCAAATTCGGGAGTTGAGACAACTATTGTAATGGTAAGGAAAGAGCTTACAGTTCGTTGTGATCCCGCCTGGAGTGAACTTGTTAGCCCTGCCCACCCAGCGTGTGATGTACAGTAAGTTTAAGTGGAGAGTTCAGATGCGAGTGCAAGGTTTGGGGAAAACAAACACTTCGGTCAGTTCATACCTCGGTCAGTTCATACCTCGGTGTGATCCCATCTGGGTCAAACGTCGTACGGTTTTATCTAGTTTTACAATGCTTGTTGTATGATCACATTCACAAGAATGGCTGATCTTGGCACGACGGGCAGTTCAGTGATCTCAACTTTTCACTCTTGGTTGATCGGCTCTACTTGCCCGCGTTTCGTTCCATAAATTATGATCTGAAATGTGAGATCTTAGCCTAATGTAACCCTTCAGAGTGAATCAGAGCGGATCTTAGACGGATGACTTTTATAATACAAAAAATTCTGTTTTCTTAATAAAAAACAGCAGAATCTTAAGCGAACCAGGATCGTAAGTGGTGGCATCTTAGGTGGTGACTACTGTATACCTTATCCTGTGAAGAGAAGGATTTGATATGTATGATGGTGTACCATCGTGACTGGTATACAATGAAGGTATTTGTTGAAGTATTTGAGATACACATAGTGTCACATTTTTTATTTGATCTCATAACTCGCTTTCACAATGATCGAAATCTTGATCATTTTAGCAGTTTTATCTATTCATTCGTTCAATTTTGTATTTTGAAATTGCAAATAAGAAATGCATGAAATGTAATATTTTCAAATAACTACAGACACTGCAGTGTCTTGAGTCAGTGTTGATGTCGTTTGCTTACAATGTGTAGATAAGAACACAGTCAACTAAGATAAAGAGTAAATTAAAAGAGGAAGGGACAAAGCTCATTCTGAGGGAAAAATGTCGCTTGCTTGTGTAGAGAAGTCCTGAGGTCCAGGCATAGGATTGGTAGTGGTGGTGATGTAAAATATTGATTGTGTTTATGCAGTTTGTTGTTATGTGTTTCCGCAGGAAAGCCAACTCGCACCAAAGAGGGTCATGACGTGAGGTCATGTAAAGTCGCGGACAAGTCTGGTTCCATCAACCTGTCTGTGTGGGACGAGGCCAGCCATGCCATTCAGTCGGGAGACATTTGTAAATTCATGAGAGGGTCAGTATTTGCTTTGTCTTGTGTACCAGTCAATATGTGAACCTTCGTGCCTGTGTGAGAAGCTTGCAGAAGTACAATCGAACATGCTGTAATGACCACCTGTCAAAGACATCAGGGCTGCCAACCATTCTGATTTTGTCGTAATCATTACGGTTTTTTAGCCTCACTCCGAAATTCCGATCGTAAGGCGATTTATTACGATTTTTACCGTCAGCAGATTTTTGGCTATAAAAAAATATATTTTAGGCTCTTTTTTTATTTTACAAGTCTTAGTGCAGACCTGTAAATCGTCCACCAATAGTCGGATAACCGCCAACGCCAATCTCTAAATCAACCCCCCCCCGTCCCCCTAAAAAAAAGGAACAGCTGGCCCACGTCACGCGAGTTAGCCTTGCCCACAATAATACCGTATACGAGTAGTCGGAGTAGAAGCATCACTGCCACGCTGCTGGGACCCAAGCAGTCTAAAAATAGGTTTTATCGAATCGGCCGACTCACGGCGTGAGACTGTGTTTCTTCACCCCGCTCTTTTTTCGTAATTAAGACATTTTTTGTTCGTTGTAATATAGTAATTTTAAAATGAGAGCACTATTGCTAATTTTTATGGGAAATTAGGAATTTTCTTCATGGTCATTACTAAAAACCATGGAGATGGGTTGGCGGCCCTGAACATTCACCTGCACTATCAACCACCCCCCACCCCCCCATTGCATTAAAAAAAATATATTATAATGACACTGTCCAAGAGGACCACCTGTCTATGATGACCATTTTTCTCCTCAACAATGGGTGGTCGTCTTGGACAAGTTTAACTGTAAACACATCTTACAAGCTTCATTAAAAAAAGGAGGTGGTTTTGTGGAGGATTTATTGTTGTATTACAGTAAGTAGTATTGTGTTAAAAGCGACTTTCTATCTAATGACCATTTCCTAGTCAATCCTGGTGTTGCCTTTTGTTCTTTTAGTGAGACTCAGAATTTAAAAAAAAATTTCAAATATTACCAAGATATTTGGCTGTTCTTGTTGTCTTCCTTCCAATAGATTGATTAATTCCATATTTTTATTGGTCGAACCTGTCGAGTAACCAGGAAAAATCAGATTTTGTCTTGCCTTTTGAAACGTTGCAGTCTTTTTACTTCCGCCACACCACACATGCGATTGACTATAATATATAAAAGATGTAGATAAAAATTGATGGCATGTAATGTGGATTTTGATTATTTTCTGTACCCAGCTTGCTTCTGCACTAGTCCAGAAATTCCTCTACAGCAAATGAAATTCCCTTTTCCAATAGCTGCACACATGACTGACTCACATATTATGGGCAATTAATTATTTGTCATTCTTTATGAGTTTTTGAAAGTTTTAGTTTTGATCAACAGTGGGCTGGCAGGTTTATATTGAAGCTGAAATATTAGAATGTGCATTGCTTGCTTTTGGTTCTTTTCTTCTTGCCTATCAAAGAGTTGTGTGACTGTTCATGCAATTTCTCTTTCTTCCAGGTATGCCTCACTGTGGAAAGGAGGCTTGACTTTGTACACAGGAAAGATTGGGGAAATTGTCAAGGTTGGAGAGTGAGTATTTGATAACAGTGGTGTCGATGTGTGTGCTGTGTTTACTGTGAAATATGACATAGAGTGCAGTATATCATGGCATAAGAGAAAAGAAAATTGGTGTCTGAAGATTGAAGACGGGTCTCTCACAAAAGGGTGAGGATTGGACCAAGGAAGAGTGAACATTTGGCAGATTTGTTCCGCAGTGATTCCTGTGTCTCTGTCACAACGTATGCACTAAAGAGTTGGAAATACATCTGAGAATATGTCACAATGAAAAGTTAAAATTAATTTTTTAAGAGGAATGGGTATTTTGATATCGGAAGGGTTTAGTTTCGTACCAATAATAACAAGTTTTGAATATTTCCATCAATTCTGCCTTTGCCTGTTGAAGAAGGGTTTTGTTGTTTAAAAAGTTTTGTTCTTACAATTGTTGAAAGCTGGAGTGTGTATATTTGTTACATGTCTACCATGTCAGTATTGGAGTCTTCATTTTTGTGTAGTATGTGAATGACTTTTTGTTGTTGATTTTGCAGTGAAGTGTGAAGTGGTGTGGAAAAAAAATTGAGCTTGTTTTGCCAGACCTTATAATCTTACTTCAAGTATATAATACACAGTGACATTTTGTGGATGATTTGACTTTTCCGTTGTGCATGACTTAATAGATAAATTCTTTTTGATACTTGAGTTTATGTGAATATGTTTCTGATATTCTAGCTTCAACCTCAGGAGCTGGCTAATTTTCCTTTATGACATGACAAACTTTCAGTCATAAATAAAGTTTTTTGATATTTTGACTTTTATTCTTTGGTTTATATCAAGTTAAATATTCTTTAAACTTTTGTTTCAGGTTTTGCTTCAATTTTGCTGAAATGCCGAACTTTAGTGAACCAAATCCAGAATATTTAAAAGTTGTAAGTAAATACAGTTAATGTTATTGTTTTTCTCTTTTTATTGTGTGCACTATCTGGGGCCCACATCTTGCCTGCTTTTTTTGTACTGTCTGCATCTCCCCATACTTTAGAATAAATACTTCATGGTCACAGGAACAGTAACAGAGAGTAACAGAATTTGTAAGGCTGAGGCATCCGGAGAAGCAAGAAAATCATGACAGTCAAATCCTGATATTGACACTAGTCTCACAGACCATGAGCAGTCTGGTGGTCTGTTTGTGGAAAATTCTTTTGTTGAAAAAGAAACTGCTTGAAGTTCTCAAACGAAGCCATAAGAAGGTTTAACTAAGTGTATGTTTAAGCAGTTAAGCACACTACTTTGGGAAAGGGAAAGGTACTGTTATCTACGACCCGTTGTAGAGTTCATGTTCATTACAAGTTACTTGCTGTTATTTCCTTCACCCTGCACTCTTTAGTATGGTAGCTACCTGTGGTATCTAGCAAGGTCCATATTTTCTCTTCTTTTTTTAGATGTTAAAAGTCATCATCAGTACATTGGGAACAAACCACTATTATAATAATTATTTTTTGTCATTACTGGAGACAATGAATTTGGCGGCAGGTTTCTTTGCTGATACATGTTGTTTTGTGTCTGGCATAAAATAAAAAGAGAACTTTGTCTTACATCAGATGGTCATTTATGTTGGTGCTGATCTGACTTTCCTGATTTTTTTCCCCTCTCAACCCCACCCCCTCAGGAGCCACCACAGAGAAAGTCTCCCACAGAAAGCGGTGAGGGTGGGCCCAGTCAAGCCAAAGGGGACATTCAAGGGTCAAGTTCCGGGGTGCGACCTCAGCTCATGCAGATTCAGCCTGGTGAGTAGAAGCCGAGGAGTGTTCAACTTTGGTGTCGAGATGATAGACAGGAAGATTTTTTCTTTTTCTTGCTCCTGTTTGGAAAATTGACAGAATTTGATCGTACTGTTTGTTCTGAAAAAGATGTTGGTACCAATCTATAATTTTTATTGCAGGTTTTCTTTTTAATTGCATGCTGATCCATAACACACTACAGGAGAACAAAATAGTTTTGTGGTGTGTAATGCCTCGAGAAAATAAGTTTCCTATTGAGTAGTTGGCGTATGACCTTATGCAGTTGCCAGCGCCGTAAAACTCTTACTAAAACATGAGTAGTTGGACACAGATTGCTTCTGTCATTTCCTGTATATATGGATCTTGCCACCAAAAAAGCCTATGAAAAGATGAACTAAATTGTTTGACAACTTTTAATAGATTGAAATTGCTGTCAAAGAACAGTTATAAATGGAGATAATATTTAGGGTAGATGAAGTCTTAGGTGTATAGGACATTTGTTAACTCACCGAGCGCCACTCCCGCAGCGTATGCGGGTTCAACTATAATTGACTATAAAGTAAACCCAGCAGTTTAAAAATGCTTGCAAATAGCCCCAGTGGTTTAAACAGGGTATTGACAAGCTAGTTCTTTGTGGTTTGTGTACATTCACCGCTTTTAGTGCGAATAAACGGGTTATTTGTCCAACGGACTGAACAACTGAAAGTAAGGAACTTCCGCGCAGTTCATTGTTGTTTCTGGTAAGCGAAGCATGGCATGGTGAGTTGTGTCGAAGTTTATTGAAACTCTCGATAATTTTGGTGAAGATTTAAGTGACTAAGTGACAGTGAAGTATCAGATAGAAAACTTCATAAATCAAAATGTGAATTCGCCTAGCAGTGATGAAGATGACTGAGAAAATGACATTAGACCTAGATCTAGGTCTAGACCAATATCGTCTCTCGATCGTGAAGCTGACTCGGCAGCGAGTACTCATCTTGGTCCGGCTGGGGATGATGATAGATCTAGCCCCAGTACTAAACTCTAGTTCAAGTCAGTCCCCAAAGTGGAGAAGATATATAATGTACCCAGACCTGGGACATCTATCGACAGATCTAGTCTTAGCTCTAGCAGCGCTGACAATGAAAACACTTCTCAGCCTTTCACCGAGGAAGATCTTGATCTTTTATTTATTTTTTTTTCAAAATTAATTATCACTTACATTTTCATGCTACTTCACTGTGCACACTCATGCTTCATTCTCCTACACACAAACACACACTGCCACAACTATTTTGTGTAAATTTAATAGATTTCAGCTTTGTCACATCACTTCTTTTTTTTCAACATTTTTTTTTCTGGGGCAAATTTGTCCCAACTTTCTGTCCCATACATTTTTTTTGTCATTCATTCTTCACAAAATATGTTTATTATGTCTGTTGAACCCATATCTTATTAAATAGCACAGAAAATTTCAAAGAAATAGCATTTCATTTCAGTTTTTAATGAATTTTCAAAAAGTGGGGGAAGTGGGTGGTCCCCTGGGGCTTGGAGGCAATTCGGGGCGTGGTGCTCAGTGAGATATGGTCGACAACTTTTTGTTTGAAGAGAAGTTCCAGTTGTAAAGATGTCATGAGGGATTCATTCTTGTTTGTTGTGTATACTGAAATGTTTTCATTATTTATCATATAATTTTGTGTGAGTGTTTGTGTCTATGTATGTAAATGTGTTTGAGTGTGCTGATGTATGCAGACCTTCCACTCATCCCGATTTAGTCGGGATTTCCCGATTTTTTGCCCCAAATCTCAATCCTCCCGATTTTCCCGATTTCGATCACGTGTATCCCGATTTTTTGTCCCAGTCTGCTGTTGTGACGGATTTTTCTTTAAACATACTCTGCCTTCTCCTTTATCGCGGAAAGCACCCGTCAAACTTTTTGTCAGTAGGAACTCGCAGCACTATTTCCCGAAATATCGATGCCGCAAATAGTAGTTGACTCTCCCCAAGTTGTGTGTGATCTTTTCCCGCACTCAGAATTCTCCGATGATAGCCTGGTAACTGTTACAATTTGGGACATTTAATAATCGATAATATTCGTAGTTCCGCTGTTACTTTCAAAACAAGCCTTGTTCGAGGTCAGGTAACTGCCCGTTCACATCAAACACTCGGACCAGCGACAGTCTTTCTAACCCTTACACAACTAACTGTAACTGCGGTGACAAGACTAACATACGGCCGTTGTCGTTGCTTTAGTCTGAACGCATTATGAGGAATAAGAGATTTGTTGGTACATTTGGTCGGTTGGCCGCCGTCGTTATCCTAGAAGTAGAACGACTCGCTTATCCGAGTGTTTTGTGTGAACGTGCAGTTAGTGTGACCCATTAGTAAAATTGTTTCAATCGCGCATTCGCGTCATGTGACATATCATCGCCATGTGAGTTCTGTGTGTCAGGGACCGTCTGTTGATGGGGTCAACTTAAGTTCATGTATTTCGGGACTTATTGGTAGGGGTGGGGGGTATGGACACTTGGAGTAGGAGTACTTGAGGCAATGCTTCAGGATTTACAAAACATAATGATAACTCGCACGTACGCACACATGCACGCACACACACACACACACACACACACACACACACACACACACACACACACACGCATGCATGCAAACAAACAAAGACACACAGAGGGCATATAGGCCAAGGAATTTATGGACACCCCTGGAAGAATTTTAAGTCAGCTTTGGCAGTCACCTTGGTGATTTGCTGTTGATCCCGATTTTTTTCACCAAATCTCGATTTTTTCTCCCTGAGATCCTGATTTTGAGGTTTCATAGAGTGGCAGGTCTGTGTATGCATACCCGGTATGTATTTTGTCATACCTCAGCAAATTGCTCTTTGTGAAGATCAGTAAAATGTTATGTTATTCTCACTTTTTTTCTCTCTTTCCGATGCTATGGATACAGGAAATGGACAGGGGTACAACCAGCAGCGCCCCCCAGCACGGCCTCCGTTGTCGGCTCCCCCTCGCGGCATCATGAATGGCAACAACAACAACAACAGCAACGTGGCCGTGGGCGGCGCAGCGGGTCAGAGTGGGCGGCCAAGCAGGGGAGGAGTACGCAGATGATGAACAGCCCGGCCCGGCTTGTTGTTTGACTAGTGATGTTGCTCTCTCAGCTTTTTGGGGGGGGGGGGGGGTCAGTGTGTTTCTGTGTACATGTGTGTGTGTATGCTTGAATGGAAAATATGGATCTTGAGTGGTATTTTTGTGTTCTTCCAATGTATGCTTATGTATCTCAATTGGTGTGTTAATATGGTGAGTGTGACATGGCTTAAGCTTTGATTGCAGATAGATGTATTGAGACATTGGAGAGTTTGGAAGTCTCTCATCCAACCTATTCTTAAAAGAAAGATGTTATTTTGAGGGGTTTGCCTTTTACTGTCTCTGTGCTGTGTTGACAAGGGCATTGGTTAATTAAGTAGAATTAGAATGTCTTTGTTTCTCGACATTGTGTGCAGTCCTGATTCTTTGGACATGTTGATGGAGGTCCCACACCGATCAGCCTGGTCTCTTACATACATGCCACCCACTGAGATTATATAAGTTTGTGTGAGTTCTACAGCTGGGGACCTGTCATATGCAGGAACCTTGTACCCTGAACATTGATCAGTGAGAGAACAGAAAGTGCAGGAAACAAGTTAGGACATATTTTGTTGAGCAGCTGTTGAGATGAATTAGCCTCAAAATTTGGACAATTTTTTGAAATTGCAGTTTCTTAATCTGTGGTATAGGTTGCTTGAGCTCAGTAAATATTTTGTAGAAATTCTAAATCTGAAGCCCCCCCCCCCCCCCCCCCCCCCCCCCAAAAAAAAAAAAATTTCCCCCCCGGAAAAAAATTTTGCTTTTTGGACTTAAAATAATTGAACAGCCTGCCAGCGATGTGTAGCTCTCAGTGTCACATTTTATGCTCACTCCTGGTCTTTCCAACTTGTGTACCTCTTAGTTTCAGGCCATTATAAGTGTATTTTATCAGAACTGTAGGGAAGCCTCGAGTGTAATGCAACTCTCATAAACTGCTTCCAGCAAAGAGATGTAGTTTTTTTTAAAATGCCGTGCAAAATCAAGTTTGTAGTAAGTAGCCTCTGAAGATATGGCAATTTTGGATTTTAAAAGAAAGTAAGCTTGTTTGCATTTGTAACTAGTACTAGCAATATTCTGAGCAAGTCTCAAAGTTTGGGCTATAGAACAGACCACTCGAAATTTTGTCAGTGAAAGCCATTGTGCTTTTTAATGGAGTTGAAGAACATTCAAAAATAATTTACGGGAGTCTAGCTGTGTTTCCTAGTCCAAAGGTTTAGGTAGGAATTTTCACAGACAAGTTGCTGTTTGTTGATGTAGCTGTTTCTGTGACAGGATACAAGTGATACTCTCCTATTGATGTGGGTCATGTAAGCTGACATTGTACGGATGTGCTTTTGTTGTTGATGGTATTTTATTACCTTCAGTGGCTCAATGTATTTTGGAACATGAAACTGGTTTTGAGAGTTTTTATTAGTCTTGTATGTAGCACAACGCCTTTTGAATGATCCGAGGAGGAGATGTTTTATGGTTGGTGTGGTAAGGCAGGCAAGTTTTCTCTGCAGTGTGAAAATGTTCTCGGCTCAGTCTTCTATTTTGTCAAGTTTCAGATATATGTTAATAGCAAGATTTTCATAAGAGTAAACTCATGCTCACATTTTTATAATTAGTACTTATTTCTGCAGAACTTGCTGCCATCGAGAGAAAGTCTCACTTAAACCTGGTCTGATTAGAGTAATATGACAAACAAAAACGACTGCTTTGTACGATCAGATATTTGACTTTTCAGACCTCTACAGGCAGAGCATACCCCCACACTTGTACACCCTAAAAATATAGACTGATTGCCTAGCAATGCCCACCGAGCGCGTTTTGTTCTGCCGATTTTTGGCCCCCGCAGCGGGGGTGTTTTGTGGGACGCACTAACGCAAAGGTTGTTGTCTTCAACTCGCTCTCACGCCGCTTCTCGTGAATGGATATAAATGAAACTTGGCAGCCAATCAGAAAAGAGGTCAATCTCGTAGTATGCAGTTTTACAACATTGTACCCATCCTAGAAGCAGTCGAAAACGTTTGCGAAAGTGGTTGATGTGGTGCGCTTTGAAGATTTTTCGAAGCTGTGATTTGTCAAACTGACTGATACGTTGTACACCATTTTTCTTTATTCCCTTAAAATTTCAAGCTTTTGTGTTTAGCGGTTTTTGCGTAATCTTTAAAAATGTGGGAGTAACTAAGGGAAAAAGCGACATTGCCGTTTGCGCGTACTGGGTGAACGGCCTGCCGCTGGGAAATTTCCACTGAGTGACGTCATCAGCCATCGGTCGCCTCGGGCGCTACAAACGAGGCCCCGCTTATGTGAACCGGAAAGGGGGGGAAGGATACTTGAAAACTAAACGGGGGCCTTGATAACTTGTGTTTTTGTTGCATTTTAGTCACAATACAATAGATGTAGTCATTTTTATTTGCTTGATTGCATGACAGAAAAATAGAAACAGAAAAGCAAACATCTTGAGAAGTGGTATGGCATTGTGTTTGCGTTATGAAAGCCTATTCCCCCCTCTTGGGAAAGCACACACTTGGACTTGTCCTGTGTGCTCTGTTTGGAAAAGTGAGGCATTAAGATTGTTATTAAAGAGTACGGTACTTATTTAGTCCAGTCTGGGAAGATAGTCCCGTTTATACATTTTTATCGTTCACGCGTGCGTGCGTGAGTGCGCGCGCGTGCATGTGTGTGTGTGTGCGCGCGCGTGAGAGAGAGAGAGAGAGAGAAGGGGGGGGGGGGGTGTAAATATGTTACATTTATTGTATGAGTTGTAGCCTACACCTGCGAAATATTCCCATGACTTGTAAACTATATTATCTGAACGCATCTTAATCTACCACATAATAGGACACTGTCCAACAATGGATATACACAGAGACGATCTTATTTTCTATAACAAAGTATGCATGCTTTTACTAGTATAGAACTGGATTTATTAGTAGCTCTCTACTTACATTTTTGTGACAAATTGATCCAGAGCATTGCTTGGCAAGGAGGAACCTTTTATGTTGCCAAGTTTCATTCAAATATCATGACTTTGGGAGAACATATGACTGATAATCTTTGTAAATCTGTAAAGCACGCCACTTTTTTACCTGTTAATGTCTTTACAACTCAAAAAGTACGACAGATGTTAAAAATCTGACTGCATAACTAGATTCTGCATTAAAAAATGTACTAGACTGCCAGGTTTCATTTACATATTCCAAGAAATAGGCGAGGTATGACAAATATTTTCTCAAAACGCACCGAAAACCGCCACATTTTTACCTATAAACGTCTTCATAACTCAAATAATAGGATAGCTATGAAAAATCTGAAAGCAGGACTCGATTCTGCACTAGAAAATGTACTGGGTTGCCAAGTTTCTTTTAAATACTCTGAGAAATGAGCGAGTTATGACGAATATTGTCTCAAAACTCACCAAAGAATGTCCCATATTTTGGGGTTTTTTCATTATATAAAAGTGTACCAGAAATTAATTGATTAAAAAATCTGTTACTTTTTTGTTTATTGATGGATTTCAAAAATTCAAAAAGTTCCATGCTCTGTGAAGATAAAGCTACAAAATGCATCTATTTGCAAACACTTTCTGGCAAAAAAAGGATTTTCGTGGTCATTGCTAGATTGCCTACTGTTACTTCCACTGACCACCCCTGTGCCAAAACATTTGAAATTCCTAGCGTCCATGAAAAATGGTCTCTATTTACTTCCATGAATGCTTGGCATTAATTATGGGAAGAAAAAAAAGGGTGAAGAAAGCTGTCAGTTGTTTTTTCACAGATGCGTATGAGTAAGACAAGTCAGTTTAGAGTTTCCTAGCATTTGGGGTATAAATGTGTGTACATGTATACCGTGTCTGAGTGACTGTAACATAAGTTGTGTGCATGTTGGTGGTGTGGCTAGATGTGTTAGTGAGTGTGTTGGTGTGTGAGATGGATAGGATGGCTAAGAGAATTCATGGAAACCCTTCCAGTATGAGGAAAGCTGACCGTTATAATTTCAATGGCAAATGTGCTGTGTTCAAAGTGAGTTCCTGCAAGTCTGCAAGTATTTTGTGTATTGTGGTCTGTTGGTGCTCTGGTAGTTTGTGCTATTCATTGTCTTTTGTTCATATTTCTTAGTGAAGTCATTTGGTGTGCTGAAGCTGATAAAAGTGTCTGAGGCTTTTCAGAATCTACTGTTAAATGATGTTTTGTGTTTTAACTCATTTATTAAGATGATACAAATTTGTGTGATTTGGTGCGTTGGTCATGTTTGCAGGATTCAGAAAGGTGAGCTGTTGTGTCGTCACATTCTGTAAGATTCCACCAAGTGCCATTTTCATATTTTACGAGAAAAGACGAGCAAAGTTCAAGTGTACCCGGTTCTTAGAAATTGTACGTAGTAAGTTCCAGATTGTAAAATGCTGGTTAGTTAAGTTAGGGGAAGATTTTTTGTTTGGATTTAACATACTCATCATATTTTATTTTTGTAAATGAAAGGGTTTTTTGGGGGGGGAAATAGCGTTAGAAAGTTTTCAAAGGAAGAGAGTTGGTAGTATGTTAATAAGTTAAACACTATGAAATTGATCTAGTATGGTTTTGGCGATACATTGATTTTAGCTCTTGTTTTCATTGTGACTTTCTTTTTATCGTGGCATGAAAATGAGAAAACTTATTGCTTACGTGATTGAAGTTTGAAGACAGATGTTCTGAGTACTTTGTTGATAAAATTGGAGATCTCCGTTTTTTATTTGGCCTGTCAAAAAAACTTGATCGGATTTGTACCCATTTTATTTTTTCTTGAATTTCATCTCCACCTTGTCGTATGCGACTTATTGCAAATGGTGTGAAAATACACATTTTTATTTGCATTAATTGCGTGTATATGCACGTTTATTTAGTTCCATGGTTAGTTCATTATGTTATCTTGATCTACAGGGGGTTCTAGACACTTGATTTTTTCCCCTCAAATTCCAAAATTTTATAAGGATTTTGAGAAAAACTCCCGTTTCTGGTTTTGGAGTGGTTGGCAGGTGTTCAGAAGTAGAAGGAGAATGTTGCTGTTTTATTTGTTTTTTTGTTGTTTTTTTTTTAAAAATAGGATTTTCATGTAATTTGATTGGCTCTTTAGTGATATAAAAGTTAAAGAGTAAGCGTTTCGAATAGTCCCGATAATTTAGCCTTAAAAATTGTTTTTCAGTAGTGGCGATGAGAAATTTGCACCAGTTGTTTGAGTGAATGGATGATGCAGGGGGGTCTGTGTCTTTGTATGCTTCCTGCACTACATGTATATATGATTCTTTGTCTTCTTAATTGATGTGTATGGTACTCATTGCATTACAGTAATAGACATGTGCTGTGACGAACAAGACAGTCATATGTGTGTTTTTTGCTGTGTTTTTAAAGAGAATTGATCTAATATATGGGGGCTCTTGTCGCTTCTCACTCAAAGGTCCCGGGTTCGAATTCGGATAGCGATGGAAAATGTTCTTCTTTCACATCCTTTCCAGCTCTATAACAATGTTCTGTCGTCTGCTTTCGCCTCTACTTTCAAAGTTTCTGCCCCCAGCCCCTCACCTTCTTTGCCCCCTCCTTTAGGCTCCTGACTCTTTTTGCAGCCTTTCTACTGCTACTCCTTTGCTCCTTACTGTTGTCTTTCAGCCACACTCTTGATCTTAGTAAGATCTACACCAAGTTTTCTCAGACAATGGTGAAAAATCTCGGAGGTCCCGTGTACAAGTTGCACTCATTAAAGATCCCTTGGTGGTCCAAAATCGATAAGAGTAGGCTTTGGTCGCCACCTGGGCAAAATTCCAAATTTCCTACCAACTCAATATGTTTGATGTGTCCCGCGCGCTCATATGACCATATGCAGTTGTGAGCACCGTAAGACACTCACCAAAAAATTTTTTAAAAATTGATACTATAAGATAGGTGTTTAAGTTTATCAAGGTCTCACTGGTTATGCTCGTGAACTCTTTAACTGTAAGATCTTGGGTTCAAATCCCATCAGGGGCCCGATGCTGTGTCCTTGGGAAAGACTATACGAGTGTTCCTCACTTCTCCCATGTGGGAATGGGTACCTGGCTATATATATATACATAATGTATACAGCAAAAGCTCTAGTCAGTTTGTAAGTGTTTTAGGGCACGTAATCGGCTGCTTGCACTTACTCTGTATGCTTCCTGGGGAGTGGGAAATGTTTTTGACTTGTGTTGTAAAGTCTGCTTGGGTAATAATAGTAAAAAAGGGTGTAGAGCATGCTGTATAGTGGATACGCACTACATAATTGCAATTATTATCATGATATTACAGTGGACTGTGGTACAAATTTTCCTTGTTCAAATTATTGTCTCTAATGACAACTGCACTAAAGGCAAAACAGCTGTTTGTTTTGTCTGAGTTGAGTTTCAGCTAACCCTCCTGCACCTAGAAAAAACTCTTTCCCGATTTTGATCAAATGCACCTTAGGTAAATAGATCATTGTCAAATATAAGGATGGCTGTGACAGAAGCTGCCGTGTGTTTGTGCTCTAATAATCTACATTAGACAATGATAAAAAGATTTTGGGTTCATCCAATCATCTGACGCCGTTCTCATAATTTTGCGGGAACATTTTACATTTGGTAATAAAATGTCTTATAGTTTTTCCTTGCAGAAATAATTCTTGGAGCAAAACATGGTAATTATTTTATCTTTTATTTGCAACATACATATAATGATGATAAAGAATATTACAGAAGTCATGATGATGATGATCACATTATCAAATCGTAATTTAAAAAAAGGAATAAATATAATCATACAGTAGGTTTTGTTATGAGAATATTAAAAAGTCAAACCAGACTAATAGGTTGTGATGTTTCTCTGTGGAGTACACAGCCAGTGGGGAAGAAGTACACAGAAAATAGTGATGTCATAGGGCTCACACAGAAAAAAAATAACTAGGAAACATTCCTGTGGTCTACCAGAACAGCATTCAAACAAGTCATGCTCATAATTATGTACCCAGTTGCCCTTCACATGTGTGTGGTTGAACCTGCTCTAATGGCCACCTCTCCAAGACAATCACCTGCACTAACGGCCACTCTGGTGTGGTTTGCTCCTTCTTTGCTATCAAACATCTTTCGTCTTTATATCTCCTCCTTCTTTTTTGTGTTTGTTATTCCCTTGTATCACCTCTATTCTTGGGCACTTATATGACCTTATTGTGCTGCAAGTGCAGTAAAACTCTTACGAAAAAAAACGACCACTTCTCACTTGAGATTTTTTCTACATTGTAATGACCCTGTCCGTGAAGTCCACCTGTACAAGACAACACTTTTCTCATGACAATGAATAAGTGGTCGTCTTTGAGAATTTAGACTGTTACATGCAGACACACCAAGGCCACGGTTGGTCCAGTCTCGTCAGAGCTGGGCTCTGTCTACCTATGAGAAGGTGGTCACTTTAGCTGCAGACTGCTGAGGTCGAGAAGCAAACAACCCAAAGCTTTTGGTTTTTTTTAAGCTGCTAGGTCTGATTTTAGCACCAGCTCTAACGCCGTCAGGACATATCCTTGATAGATTGGCGCTATAACCAATGATAGTACATAACAAGATGGTTCACTCAGCCAAAAAAGTGTCCGCAGGAAGTATGCTCTTTGCTTCAGATGGCGCTGCAGTCTGTTTTGAAGCTCTCTTTCGTTTTTCCAGAAGAAGAATAGGAATAGCACCTCCTTGCGTGCGCAGATCGACTGCTGTTCATCAGCAGTTCGGGTACGTTCAGTGCGTAGTTTTAGGTTTTTTATTTTATTTTAATGACCTCTCGCCTTTCATTCTAAAGTCAAATTAAACGAAGAAAACCACCACCCTTTCCTCCGGAAAAGGTTTTTTGTCAGCGTAACCATTTTAAAAAAGCGTTCTTCCGAAATTTATCCCAAAACATGCTAGTTTCACATTGATTTTTAAAAACTCAAGTAGGGTAACTCTGTTCGCAAAGAATGCGCTTTTGTGAAGAGGGCGCCACCAAATTTTGAGGACACTTTTTTAATTGGCTCAAAGAGAGAAGTGGCCCATCTTGTTATGTACTATCATTGCTATAACTCATAATTTCTGTTTATTACTCCACATAAGATTCATCCTGACTAAAAGAGTTGATGTTAATATTATGATATTATCCGGACACGTTAATCCCTCCGCCACTAGGCCAGAGACAGCTAGGCTATTTCTATTCGCAGATTTTTCAGCTGGTTTGGCAACGACAGAGTTAAGATAGCATTTTACCATGCACAAAGCAAGGGGTCTCTGAATCCTTCTGATCACTAGCAATACTGCCAACTTTTGTTTACATAGTAAACACTAGCCTTCAGTTTCTCAACCAGCTCCAGTCAAAGTACAGGAACGCTGCTGTAAATAGCCCCTGACTTGCACACAGATGTCGGAAGGTGTCATCTCTGGCTCAGACTCAGAGGTGGGGACGCGTAATGACCTGATTTTGTTTGAGGTCGCTACTTCAGTGTTGTCGGTTCACATTATGCGGTCCACCTTAATCTCGTGTGCCTCACATCTTGTCTTCAAGATCAGAGGGGAGGTTTAAGTTGAATAGAGTTGATGTGAATACTCTTGAGTAAATGAGGGGAAACACAAAGTTTGAAGCTGACATTCTTTAAGGCTGGGACAGAAAAGATTATTTCTCATCAGAAGGGTGTTTCAATGCATACGAGTTCTGGTAGATTTTTCATAACCCTGATGTTCGGTAGAAACTAATTTCAAGAGCAAAAAAAATATGGCATTCGCTCTTTTCTCTGTATGACCATCGTCATAATTTACAAAGACTTTAGTTTCAGGCTCTATCTTCCACTAAATTAAAAAGCTATGACATTTTCAAAGTTTGACATATTTCACATGAAACTTATACAGGTATTGTTTTTATTCCTTGTAGCGATGCTGCCCATAACTCATTATTATGGGACATTCAGTTCCACGCCACCCATAAGCTCCACCTAGTTCTCGTAACATCCATCAAACACACAGTTACTAGTTCACACATACCATGTACCCTTCTACAGAGTAGGAAGAATGAACTCTTAGCTACAGACAAACCAAGGTGAAATAGAGAAGAGAAACGGTTATTAATAATCAAAGTGCAAAATCTTAAGTTTGAATTAATTCTTCAGAACTTAATTCTCACTCATGGGCGCCCAAAATGTCACTCGTTCTTTCTCTCTCCTTCATTCTCTCTTTGCGTGTGTGAATGTCTGTTGATCATCCAGCAACAGCATGAACTCTCGCTACTCTCAGACACGCAAACATTATAGTATATACATGTAAATGTGTACATCTAGCCAGTCAGTCTTATGAGATGAACTCCGGGAGAGGCAATTGTGTCAAACCAAAAATAACAGAGACGGTAAACAAGTACCAGACATTGCAATGTTTTGTCATCAGACACGACACATCCATCATCAATCAACAGCAATACAAACAGACTCACCTACATACAATCTGACAAAAAACTCGAAAAAGAAAAGATGAAGTAAGTATTGGGAGATGGAGGGGGAAAGCTTTCAAACAGACGAGAAGAAAGAAAGCTCATGGGTTGTATACATACAGTGGTTGGGAGAGGAAGAAGGAGAAAAAAAGTCAGTCAGTGTAGAAGAAGAAAGCTCACATGGTATGTGGTACATACAGCAATTAATACCAAACTCAACAAATTTGAGTACCGTAACAGAAAACTCAACTAAGACACAGTTTAAGAAACTGGGTCACAAGAGAGGCCAATTTCAGCTAACTCTGATGTCTGGCTTATGAAAAGACACACTACAGCGGAGTCTGCTTAAACCAAAATCGGCGGGCCCGTCAGATTTCCTTCAGTTTGTCCGAGTTTTTGTTTACAGAGGTTGCTCAAACTGGGGATTTTACTTTCTTTTAGATTGACTATGTTCAGTTTTAGTTTTATAGTTTTAATAGAGTTTTTACTGCACTTGCGACTGCATAAGGTCATATGAGCGCCAAGGGGTGGATGTCAACAGAGAAGTCCATACAGGGAATCAGGCTTACTCTGCTCACCTCTCTAGCTTCAACAGCACAAAGTCTACTTCGACTATCAAGGCATCCCGGAAAGAGCAGGTCACAAGAGTGTGACAAACATACAAAAGAAGTAGAGAAGATGATAGTAAGGATTAGGAAAGAAAGAGCAGCAGTCCTCCATTGCCCTTCAGGCACAGTTATGAGCATGACATTGATGAATCAGCCCATTTACAATTCTACTGAGCATTAGAACATGTTAATGCCCCCCCCCCCCCCCCCCCCCCTTAGAAATGGCCTAAAGACACTTGAGTCAGTAGCTCCGCCCCAGGGGGGGTATATGCTCTGTTTAAGCAAACTCCACTGTATTATGCATGTACATGTGTGACGGGATTTGACATAGACAGAGAAAACCTGTCTTACAAAGACAATGGGCCTTATTTTTCAGTGATCTTCATGGGCGAAAATATCACACATTGATGAATTTGGTGAAGTTTTGCCACTAAGGGAGAAGACTATCATTGTCCCCAGTTATCAGAATGCAAATCGTTACATCGCAAAAAAGAGAAAAAAAAAAGAAGAAACTCCACATTGTTTTATTCACCCTGTAAAGCAGTGTCAGACCAAGTCAAATACTTTTCTTGGGACGCGAAAAAATGTTTCAAAATAATTCACAAGAACATGAGAATATTGAGAGCTACTATGTACTGTGGAGATGAAAAAAGTGGCAAGTCTTTTTATTATACAATATGAGAATTATGATAAACCAGTCTTCCAAACTAGGAGAGAATATGGGAAAGGGGAGGGGTACTGATATCGGCACAGTGGACTTCAGAGTAAATAGTGAATGTGTATTTAAAGAAGGTCATTGCTCAAAACAGAAGATCTGACTGATTGAAAATATTTCAATCACTAGGATTTACCTCAAATAGAAAAAGTATTGTACACCATAAAAGTAATGGTAATGAAAAAGTGTGCAATAAAAGTGACATCAAATCAAAGCTAACAAATTCTACATTAAGCCAAATCTGAAACATGATGACATCTAATGTTCAGGTGTGTGAAGGACCCATGTTAGCAGCTAAAGTATGGGTAGTTGAAGGATCAATAAGAACATCTAATGTTTGGGGATATGTGTACAAGTCCAGATTGAGCAGAAGTACGGTCAATAGACAGAACATGACAGGTGAATTGGTGAATGGTTGCAAAATGTCTAGTGGGAACATAAATGTGTGTATATATACACTGCTAGACAGTGAAAAGATGGAAACACACCCTTTGTTTTGTGACCTGAACTTATGGTCTTATGATAAACTACCTCGTTGATGGAAACAGTCTTGAGTCCAAATTCTCTATACTCCTACATTGGATTCTCATCTCTCTACGATAAGAAAAGAAAGTATATCATCATACTCATAGTAAACTTTCAGAGACAGGTCATCCTCCAGAATTCTACTGACTAAAATCTTCTAAACAAGCTTAACGACACTTTCTTGAAATCTTCCCCACAATGTCACCGATTCAAGAGTAAATCAGAGCATGGAAAACAATGCAGTACATCTCCGTCTCTCTACATTCTTGAATAAAACATCTATTTGTGCAGTCTCTTTTAAAGGAATTAAAGAGAAGGTGAGTCCGAAGTTGCACCTCACACAAAAATTTTGAACTGAGTAGGAGAAATGAAGCATCAAGCAGCACCCCAGATGAACTAAGTAGATTGAGCATCACCGAGAGAAAGAGTGGATGTCTATGATGAAAGAGTTAACATTTTACAGGATGTCTACATACTGAAAATATTTTAACATATATACTTTCAGATGTCTCTGGTGGTAATATTCACATTTTATGAATAACGTTAATGAAGTTACATGCAATGTTATCATTTTTCTAGATATGCATTTCGAAGTCGGTAAACTATGAAAGATTGATAGAGAGAGATAAAATTAATAACAATTTTAAAAGAAATTTTGCGATAATCTGATAATATTTTTCAAAGTATGCTACTGTTGACAATGTTAACATTTCACAATGTATGTTCAGTGAAGATAGGGTCAATAATTTACAAAATAATTGTGCATTAAGAATTTACATTTTAAAATCTGGTTACTAACTTGTCTATTAATCTATTGGTAGTCTCCACCACTTCTTATTGTGGCCAGTCATCTGTTACTGCAGCCTGCTACTGCTGTCAGTCAACAGTCATCTTGTCAATCATCCGTAACCATAGCCTCTTGTCAGTTCTGCAGTTAATCGTTTGCTACTGCAGCTAGTCATCTGTTATGATAGTACGGCAGCCACTTGTCTGCTACTGCAGCTAGTCATCTCTTATGGTAGCACTGTAGCCACTTGCCTGCTACTGCAGCTAGTCATTTCTTATGGCAGCATTGTAGCCACTTGCCTGCTACAGTAGCTAGTCATCTTTTAAGGTGGTACTGTAGCCATCCGCTACTGCAGCTAGTCATCAGTCATCATTGCCACTCAACAGTTTATTATAGCCAGTCATCTGTTCCTGAAGTCATTTATCCGCTACAGTAGCCCACGGTCTAGTTGTGTGGCCCATCATCTTTTATTGTAGTTAAATCTAAACATTGCATTCACAACACCAGCATTCATAACTCAAACATTCTTCTCAAGTCTTCTCTCCACTGCCCTACTCCAGTAGGTTGGTGGGAAATAAATAGGCCAGGCCTGCTGTTCACCAGGAGGGGGGGGGGCAACCCTTGTCATGTGGAAAATACAAAATATTTACACAGAAAACATCTAATGTCAGCTTTACACGTTTGGCATTAGGTACCATGTTGTACCATCTCGTCTTCTTCCGTCCCACCACTTCAGTGTCAAAAGCTTCGCCATCAAAATTACCTATCTGTATCTGGTAGGGCGATGAATATAATCAAAGGCTAACAATATGCCAGGCGGGCTGACAGAATGAGTTACTTCTTGGATTTTAGCCCTCTGGAAATAGATAAGTCTAATGTGTAGGTAGTGTTTGTACAGTTTATAATTAAGAAAAAATTAAAATCATATTATAATTAAACAAAATGGCATCCATTGAAAATCTACAAAGTTAAGATCAGCATCGCTCTTTAGCTAATATTTCCATTTGTGAATTGCGAGCGGTAACTCATTTTGTTAGTACGCCTCACAGACAAAACTTCCTACTGCTGTCCAGAAGTAAAGATAACTGTCCTAGTTTCACATTCAACAGTTATTTCACAGTGCACATAACTGCTCCAAGTCCACACTTTATTACTAGTATAGTATACACAGCTTTATGAAGACTAAACCATGCATTCCTTTCACTTCTTAGTAGTATCAGAAGTGAAAACTGAATTACTGAACTGACAGAAAGAGGAAATGTGGGAAAGTCAAACTAGTGTACAGGGAGAAAGTCAAAATTATTTACAACAAATTTTCAAGGCATCGAATCAGACACTCTCTGCAACAGGTGGCAGTAATGAACAAAACACTTTCAAGTACACTTAAAGCGAATTTCTACAGATGAGTTATTGGTAAACAATGTGTATGTCCAGAAGCATGAGTTTGTATTCAATGTAATTACACCAGTGAGAAAAGTTTAGAGAAATATACAAAAATAAACTCAGTCATTCATTGGCAAAGTCAGGCCTCACGCACCCCAAAAAAAAAGAAGAAAAAAAATTATTTAAAAAAATAAAAGAAAGAAACCCATACAATCATCTGCCCACTGATATGAAGGTGGCAGCAAGTCTTATATATACCAGTGTGATATGAAGCTTCAACATTCCACCAAAACAAATCCAGATACCAAGATGAATACATATTTGTGCACCACATCCTCACAGTGACTCTCAACAAATACAACATGCAGAAAAATTGCTCAAAGGTCTCTCATATTATCTGCATACTGAATTTAAATGCATAAAAACCAACTGCCAAATACGTCTGTCACTCGGTCTTCAAATGTATCCCATAAAGTCAAATACTGTCATCTCTGCGCCAAGGTAAAATAATCAAGAATGTCTCGTAGCAGCTTCCATGACAATCTTGAGTTTCTTATCGAGTCGACCCTTACAACAAGCACAAAGTTTTTCCTCAAACTTTCAAGAACACACTCCACTGTATCACGAATTTTCACGTTAAACATCACAGTCAAGAAACAAAGACAAAACTGACCCCAAAAAAATATTTAAAATAAAAAACTCCTCTGTATCTGTCAGATGCTACAGTCAAAAAGTCTCATGACATACAGGTGCTTCAACAAGAAGTACACAGAAAAGGATGTAGAGATTTGTAAGAAAACCAGCCAATCAGGTTTGAGGGATAAAAAGTCTTGAGTTGTCTAATGATAAGTAAGGAGCCATCTTGTGTAAGAGTTGTCTCAGGGTAGAGACTTCAGGATAAAAGCGTCGCTCTGAAATAACAGATGAGAAGAAAATGAGTAACTGCAACCCTAAACACACACAAGAGAGCAAATTTTATACAAGAACAACTGATTTTTAACTTCAATTAAATTTTTACTGTTTCACTTTTCTGATCCATCAATGAAATACAGTGCGGCCTCTCTATAACAACATCGTCGGGACCAGACTAAATGTCGTTATAGAGAGGCAACCAAAATTTGCTAATGATATACACAGAAAAAATCGGGACCTGGGCACCATGTCGTTATACAGAGGATGTTGTTATATCGAAGGTCGTTATAGAGAGGCTGCACCGTATTTTCTTTCAAAGTATAGAAGCAGTCAATACTGTTAAGTAAGTCAGTTTCTATAAAACTGACAAACCAGATTCATAGAGCTCTGCTATTTAAAATGACACGGTGAAGCATGAGACAGAAGCTTCATACAATGGAGCAAAATGAACAAGGTCTAGAAGTCCTGAAGTAAGTGGTCATTTGTCACAAGCTGGCTACAGTTCTTTTGCTATCTGTGTTCAGTCCAACAAGATGAGGGG